GTCCGTCTCGGCGTCTACCTGTTGCAGCGCTCGCCAACGCCACGACACTCCAGCTGCGGAGCCCCCCCAAATCCAACCACATCCAGGCCAGCGACTGCCGCTCCCCTGTAGCGGGAGCGCCCGAGGAGGCAGCAACGCTCTTGCACCCAGGTGACTGCACGGGCTTCCACCAGCAGCCTGAAGTTGGCTAGCGTCTCCCCCGTCCAATGACACCCCGGGCGCGGAGGGGCGGGGAGGACCCGGCGGGGCCAGGGGTTGGAGCTGGGCCAGGGCGGGCGAAATGGGGAGGGAGAGAGGAGAGAGGGCGGGTGGAAGCCCGGAGGGGGAGTGGGCCAGCTCCAGGGCCGGCCCTTTTAAAAGCGGGTCACATGTCCAGATAAAGTTCAGGCTGCTGTCCCGCCCCCTGAGCCCTTGCTATTGGCCCAGGGGGAAGCCAGGCTCCACGCTGCTTGGGCGAGGATGGCTTCTCATTGGGCAATTGTGGCTGTCAGTCACCAGGAGGACGACATGACTGATACAAAGTTGCTGCGACACAGCCTGGACTCGGCGGCTCCCTTAAAGCCGCACGGGCGACTGGGGTGCCGAGCAGCGGCTACGACACCAGGCAGCAGGCCCCCTGCGCACGCTGACCCCCGCCCCCTCGCTCAGCAGCCCTCAGCTTACTCGCGCCACCTGGCTCTCCTGCCCACCCTACGATATCGGAAAAGACATGCAAAGTGTGGTGACGCGTCAAAGTCGGCTTTCCCGAGAGCCAGTCAAGGTGTAATCCCCTCACGCTCTCCACCTGCAGCGCCAGGTGAAGGGCAGCCCTGGCCCAGACTCCACCCGCAGCGTCCGCGCGCAGGGGAGGACTCCCGCGGGGGCCGCACCGACCCCCGAGGTCCTCTCCACGCCCCTTTCCTGCGTTTCCGAGTTACCTCTCAGCAGAGCAGCCGCAGTGTCCGCTGCCAGCTTGCAAGAGGATCACGTTCCCACTTGATTTGAATTTCCTTGTTTTAACCGTGCAGGAAAAGTGGGTGATTTCAGCGTCGCCGAGCCTTTTAAACACAGCCTCTCACCCACTTCCTCACCCCCCCCCAACCAAAAAAAAAAAAAAAAAGTACCAGGGTCAGGAGCTGCTGCTCTCTCTCCTTATAATTTTGTTACTGTCCTTACTACTTCAGCGTTGGATTTTTCCACTAGTTCAATTAGAAAGAAAAGCCTTCGGTCGAGGATATTCACTTCTTTATAATGGGTGGCAGTGGTGCATATAACTGGGGGGGGGGGGCGGGGGGGACATACAGAAGAGGGGGAAGGAACCGAACTCTTTTCTAAGGATAGGGCATCTGCAAGAAGAAATGTCCGATTCCCTCCAACCGCCCCTACCTCGACTCTCCTCACGCCCACCCAACCTCTGGGCTTCTTAACTTCGATATCTAAGGACGTTGAGGGTCCGCGTGTGCGGCCCGGTTTTAGGCTCCCAGCTGGCTCCAAATCAGCACCAGTGACGTACACGCCTAAATCTGGTACCCTGGCCCTCGGCGACCTGCCTGCAGCCGGGCGCCAGCAGCTGCTCAGCCTCCCGCCTCACCCTCGCCCCGCGCCCGCCTAAGTCGTGGGGAAGGCGTTCACCCTGTGCCCAAAGGCCCCTCTTCGCCTCGCAGTTAATTAAGCTTCGGGATTTCGGACCCTGAAAGCAAGAAGACTCAAACTTCCAGCCATTGCAGGCAGGGAACTCCCTGCTAGAGGAGGCGACAGAGACGGCGCGGGAGAGCTGGTCCCCACGCCTCCTCAGGTGTTCGGCATTCCCCTGCGCAGAGCGACCCCCGGTGCCCCAGGTGCCGGGAGTCCCGGCCAAGTGTCCCGACTTTCCCGAGGGGCCCGCCGTCACTCGCGCTCTCCCAGCCCGGCAGCAGTTGTGCGTCGATCGCACTCGGGCGGAGCACAGGCGGCAGGCAGGAGCGAGGGGAGTCCCGGAGCTGGCGCCCGGGCACGCGAGGAGGCGGCAGCAGCTCAGCCTGCGCTGCCAAATTATTCATTATTAAAGGAATGGACGTGCCTGTTTTACTAAGTTTTTACCTCCTTTACGGAGAGCCCATTTTACCCCGGATCTCAGCTTCTGGCAAAATCTAGGTTAGAATCGTGCAGGGACAGCCGCTGCGATCGCTTGCTTGCCCGCGCCCAGCAACCCTGCCCAGAGGCGGCCCAGCGGGCACCTAGT